AGTGGGTGAGTCAACATCGCTTTTGACCTGAAATCTGCTGGCTACCAGAGTTGTTTACCGTGACCGTACGACGCACTAGTGGTCATGCCTTTTAGTTGGCAGCGGGTGCGACTATTGATGATGTGTTTCGCAAGAAGTAAACCCCCGAGCACCAGGACAAAACTTCGCCGAGCCAAGTAGATACGCGGGCTTTACAAGTCTAGTTTCGAAGATCAAAGGCACGTCGTCTCTCAGCACCGCTAGTTCTGGGCATCGACTTATGCGTACTCCTACATTCTCTGGGTATCTAGCCATATCTCCGTATATAACGTAGCATCATTCACACACTCTCGGATATCTTACTGCCCTCGTTCACCTTCGTCCTCCCAAGACCATAGCATCTTCTCGTCCAAACTATACGTTCTCTCTTCCGTGATGATCTTCACCACATCCATCAGAACCCTCTGCTCAGGGCGATCTTTGGCACTGTTCGTCATCATGCTCCCACAGCAGCCCTCAACCTCGCACATTAGGGAGTCTCCATCATGCTCACCGTTCCCAGAAGGGCACGTCCACACAACCTCGCGGCCTGCAACTGCCGCCCGACGGTGAGAGTCTGGTGCCCTGGAGGATATGCTGCCTGTGAACGGCTGGCGGCCGAGCGCCTCAGCTTTGCGGAGGCGGACGTCGACAGTTACGACAGAAAGGTAAGCCTTACGCGCTAGCCACGACTCGAGATCCCTGACGCGGAAATAACGTGCTGCGGCGTGTAAAGATGCGTAACGTGGAAGATTGTGGCCTGCTGAAGCAGACCAGAAGAGCGGGTAGAGGGCTGTGCGGAAGTAGGCGAGTAAGTCGGCGAATGTAGCAGGGTCGGTGTCGAGAAATAGGGGATTTGCACGCGAAGCGACATGTTGCGAGATGAGGTTGCGGAGGAGAGGTGACTTTCGAAGGGTTGTTTTTTTTTTTCTGGAAAAAACGTTCGCCAACCTGAATGGCAACATAAAAAAAAGAATGTGGGATAGGGGTGCTTGAAAATCCATTTCGGGAAAGCGTGATCTGGGATGTGGTACCTCTTGGTAGTCTTGGCTCCTTATGGGGGAGACCGCATCAACCATTTTTTGGTTGGAATTGGTTTTTTGGCAGTGATTCCTTCTTTTGTTTGGTGGGTTTCT